GGAGTCAGTGCTTCAAGAACCACCACGCACAGACATATGCAAGACATGGGTTTCAGCTGTCACATTCCTTGTGTCAAGCCACTCTTGAACAAGACACAGCGTCAGAAGCGTCTCGCCTGGGCTAAAGACAAAAAGGACTGGACTGCTGCTGAATGGTCCAAAGTTATGTTCACTTCATGCTTCCTGCTGCTGACCAACTTTATGGAGATGCAGATTTCATTTCCCAACAGGACTTGGCACCTGCACACAGTGCCAAAGCTACCAGTACCTGGTTTAAGGACCATGGTATCCCTGTTCTTAATTGGCCAGATTGCCTGACCTTAACCCTATAGAAAATCTATGGGGTATTGTGAAGAGGAAGATGCGATACGCCAGACCCAACAATGCAGAAGAGCTGAAGGCCACTATAAGAGAAACCTGGACTCTCATAACACCTGAGCAGTGCCACAGACTGATCGACTCCATGCCACGCTGCATTGCTGCAGTAATTCAGGCAAAAGGAGCCCCAACTAAGTACTGAGTGTTGTACACTCATACTTTTTATGTTCATACTTTCAGTTGGTCAACATTTCTAAAAATCCTGTTTTTGTATTGGTCTTAAGTAATATTCTAATTTTCGGAGATACTGAATTTGGGATTTTCATTAGTTGTCAGTTTTAATCACCACAATTAAATGAAATAAACATTTGAAATATATCACAGTATATATGTCTGTGTGTAAGGAATTAATCTAATATCCAAGTTTAACTTTTTGAATGGAATTACTGAAATAAATGAACTTTTTGATGATATTCTAATTATATGACCAGCACCCGTACAAGAGAGCAGTATTTCAGCTCGGTATTGTATTATCCTAATGTTGTATTCCAACAAACCCAGAAAACTGTCTTGGTCATGTCACATACTGGAGTTTTGGTTCGCTCTGTTTTTAACTAACAAAATCACTTGTTGGCTTTTCTCTTTTGACATATGGTGTGATCTATTTGGCAGTGAAAATGAAAAACCACATTATTTTGTATCTTACCCATGGACATAGAAGAGGGTGTAGAGCTTCTTTACGTCTGCTGAACAGGTCTTGGTGACAGAGAGCATGCCTGTGGGTTTCAGTGTGAGGGGCTCCAGGGCCGGGTTCCCTGATTCCACTAAATGTGAGAAGAGACGCTCCACGCTTCGTCTGCAGCCCACACATGGCACCAGCTGAGATTGCACTGTACACCTCTCTGGATGTCACCATCAGGGCGATATTTAAGTCCTGCTGCTTCAATTTGGAGTGATACTAAAGGCCAAGGAATCATACAGGTGTTACCACTTTGTTGACAAGTCCCATGAAGACAAACTACACACTTTTAAACTACTCACCTCAGAAAATTGTTTCCAGTGAGGGGTGTTTATTTCTTGGCTGTCAACATCCATGACACTATCAGAAAATTCCATCACCATCTGACAAGAGGTAATAACAGTTAAGTTAACATAAATTATAGAAAGACTCACTTCAGCCCTGCTGATAATTGTGGTTGGGCCCAACCATCTCTCGTAAAATGTCGTGTTACATGCTTGTTACATGTCTTCTTGGTTGTTTAACTGTATATTGATACTGCAGCAGCACTCAGTGTCTTTGTTTAGCTTTGTAAGCTTTGAGCTTATTAACACAGCAGTTAGGTATGTGGGTAAGTGGGACAATAACCTTTGAGGTGTACAACTAATCTATCATGAGCTGTGGCTTAGGTGTTAGAGCGGGTCGTCTAGTAATCAGAGGGTCGCTGATTTGATTCCTGGCCCCCTGGTTCAGTGTCCTTGGGCAAAATTCTGAACCCTCCTGATGCTGCCCGATGGCCGTGCTGATCGGTGTGTGAATGTTTGTATGGTGAGCTTACTATCATTGTGAGCACTGAATAAATCCAAGTCCATTTACCATAACAAAAAACATGATCACTTTCCATTATCCATGCTGTATCTGCATCATCACAACAAGTTAAGAAAGTCAAACTGGTTGAATACTTTGTGCTGATATCGCATAAAGGGAATCATCTCTCATCCCTACACAGCCACAGAAATGTACTTCTTTGTCTCACCTTAAGCTTTAGTCAAACCACTATAATGTTTGTCCTTTAAACAGGTTGGGACATTTTGATAATGATCATAAATCAGTTAGAGAATTTATGTGGAGGGCTAACATGACTTAATTAGCCGCTTAACACGTGATCATATAGAATAATGGGAAAGCTTATTTACCGTGAGAGTATCATCGATATACAGGGGAATCTGTCTGGTGAGAAATGGGTAGTCTTCTTCCCCTTCCCTGCAAACTGCGACCAGACGTGCCATGACTTCCTCCAGTTTGGTCCTGGTGCAGCTCGCCTGCAGGTGACACACAAGACACAGACTGACCACATTGGACATCAGCACAGGCTACGCCAAGCTAGTGCTAATCTACTGCAGGTCATTGCGGGCTAACTACTATATTGTCACTACAATACAAGCAAAATACCAGAAACTAAACCACGGTACAAATGCCAACCATTAGCTGACGTTGACAACACCTGATTCAATGTCACTAAAAGTGTTGAGAATACAAACTGATTCGACTTGACCCAGATTTAACGAGCCAAGTTAGCAAAACAACCTGGGAAACGAGAGCACGGAGGGAGAAAGGCTTTGATGTTTTAGTTTGTAAAAATGTTTTACAGCTGTTTTAGCTGATATTATTTGAGTATGAAGGACAGATTTATTAACATTAACGTCTATCTGCTGGACAGGTTAAAGCAGTAACCGGCGGCTAACCAGTTAACGTTAGCCTGCTAGCTAATTTAATTTGCCAGTAACGTTACGACTGTAGTGTCTTCTATGCGCAAAACTGTAAAGCGATTAATATACACGGAAGTTTAACATACCTTACCAAATAATACACATGTAGCAGTGTAGATATAGATTGTCTACGCCCTGTCAATGCCAGCAAACTTGGCTAACTTTAGTTAGCATCGCTGTCCTACAAAGCTAACGTTAGCGAGCTTGGATACGGCTAATATAAAGTTAGTCTGCTGGCAGGCTACTTAGCGACTGTCACTTTCATCAGCGTCTCTTGCTAACGTTTAAAAGATTGATCATAATCTGTCGCCGAGACTAGATAAACGGTCGTTTGTCTGAAACCAATTATAGTTTTTTACTCACCCGCCTTTGTTAAGTTCCCCTTAAAAAATAAACAAGTGCGACGGTGAGTGAAGCTGCTACGGTGGCGGAATCTTCATCACTCAAGTGACCTTTGGCCCCAGCACGTAGTAGCTGACGTTGTAATGCGTGCGGCCTCTAGGGGCGCATTATGGATATTATCTTATTCATTCAGTAAAGCTGTTGTAAATCCAGTTTGTTTGAAATAAATGAGCTCAAAAGGACTTTTACTTCTTAATTTTTATTTGCTCGTCCCTTTGTATTCATCAGTTTCATATACACAAGTGATCAAGGTAGATTTAATTGTCATATTACAACTGGGCTGTGAAATGAAATGCAGTTTTCAACTCCCTTCTGCTACACAGCAGACAATGTACAGAAAACAACAATCATAAAATGGTTAAATAGACTTTATTGTATAAAGCAGAGCAGAGGATGAATTCGAATGTAAGAGTCTGATAGCTTGGGGTAAAATGCTACTCTGCAGTCCAGTGGTGCGACAACAGATACTTGTATATCTCTTTCCAGATGGCAGCAGGGTGAACAGGCTGGGCTGTTTAATATCCTTTAATATCCTTTAAGGATATGATGGGTACCAATAATGATGTTGGTTGTTAGGTGCACAGATTGTAATCATAATAAATATGACTGTTGCTTTTAAATCTGAATAATTACATTAAGTATATATGTTGCAGTCACTGAGATGTGAGCAGGATGTAAATTTAAAAATTGTATTTAAATGAAATAAGTAAGGAAGTAACAAACAATAAAAGACAACAGATGTTTACAACACTTAACACCATGTCTGAACACCATTTTATCAAGACCCGTATTTCTTTGCAGAAATAAACACATTATATACAATGGTATCTTTAGCATTACAGATCATCTTGTGACATTACATCTTCCCAGTTAATTGTCCTGAATTTCAATGTCCGTCACTCCGGCCCCACAAAATACACAAATGAACGCTGTACTTTTACAAATGTAATTTTACCAGAATTTTACTGAAATTCCACAAAGATGTAAAACATATATTACAACGCAATTAATGAACATGTACAACAGCAAACACACACTGATAATAAACTGCTACAAGTAAGTGTGTCCACTATGGAGTTGGTCAATCCTGTCAGGACATTTGCAAGCAAGAAAAATAACAACTGATTCCTGCTGACAGCTTGAACAAGGCAGAGTCTTTCTATTTCACCCGTCTTTCCTGAGTCTGATTTATACAAATGCCATGATGTGGGTACCAAGTGACAGGCGGATGTTCTTTTAGAAAACAGTAATACCATATCAGCTATACCAAGGCAGGACATAAAAAACAAAGACTGAGCAACACTCCAGAGGCAGAAGGGTAAATTAGCCATGCGGCGAGACACTGGCTCCACGAGTGTCTGACAGGTATACAAAGCAGCATACAGGACAAAACTTCCCAAAAAGAGGTTAAAAAGTGCTTTGAGCCACTGTCTAACCTGGGATCTTGGTTGCATCACATAGAGTCCAACCTGAACTCCTGCCATGTAGATGGCTACATAACCCACTACAGAGAATATGCCCTCCTTGTTAGCATGCAGAAAATCTTTTTCTCTGTCACTGTTGTGGATAATGAAAGACTTCAGCCCTGATGTCTCCAGAGTGAGCTGATAAAATCCGCTGATCAGAAGGGCAAAGACCCACGACTGACTCGCTGGTACAACAGCCAGAAGCACAGAAGCCACAACTCTGACGATGGCTAGTGTGAAGAAGAAATTCCAGTGGACGCCATATTCTGTCACATGCTCCTGGTAGTCAGTCATTTTGACACTCACTAGTCTCATCATACCAAGAACAACCAGGGGCCAGACAGCCAGGAGCTGCTTTGTGATATGATTAATCTTGGATCCTGATATGTTCTTCCTCCGTGCCTCTGGGCAGACAAGGGCATTTGCAAAGACATACGCTCCAACTCCAAAGTCCATAACACCTGTCCCATAGGTTTCTGTTTTTGCATATCGCCTTGGGAAGACAGTGAAATCTACTGCGAGAATGCTGATTGCTGTTTTCACATTTACAAACACTCGAAACATAGTCACAAAGGGAACCTGGTCGACCTGAACGTGACTTTGAAGGAAGGTGCTGACAGTGTTCTGTGGGTGCCGAGCCGGATGCCTGTTGACACGGTAGATATAGCAAAACACGGAGGCCGAAACAAAGGCTAGGCTCAGGATGACCTGGTGAAGAACGCTGCTCAGAACGGTGCATGACAGAACGAGGGGAAGAATAAGCACGGTGAAGTCTAGAAGCAGGTGAGAAATC